CATTGCCAGGCTGTGTTGGGCGTGAGGGCCAGCCATGGTTCCTGCTTGCCCGTGGAGCCAGGCGAAGGCCAGAGGGGCCTGTTCAGGGTGTGAGTAACGTCAAGACAGTGAGCGCCAGTCAGCTGGGTTCCTCGAGTTGCTTTTGTTTTTAAATCATTCCGTCATTAATCATTTTGACTACAGAATTAAAGGAAGTGCAGAAATGCTTTCCACAGTTGTGTTGGGTGAGCCTGTGCAGTCCTTGGCCACTGTTGAGCTCGTGGTCGCGGGTGTGGGCTCTGTGTCCCTTGTGGGTCATCTTCACGCCGCCGCCCATCAGGTTGCTATTTTAGGGACCACTCTGGCGGTTGCAGAGCAGCTGACCTGCCTAACGGTGCCCGGCAGGTCGGACTCGCCTCGTAGCTCCCGCTCTCCCGCTGACGAGTCATCCACTGAGGTATCACCCGCTCTTAGCTCCTCGGGGTGCTTTTCTGGGTGGGAGTTGCTCCTGGTGGCTTGGTCCTGCCCCTCTGGCATGCCACCAAGAGGAGATGTCAGCCCTGGGGATTGTGAAGTTGGCTTGTGGCAGAGGTGATGCTGAGGTGCTGTGAGATCCTAGTGAGATCACCTGTGTGTGTGAAGGGGGAGTCGGGTTCGAGCAGGGCGCTGGGCAGTCTAGACCTGAGCCCACTCTCACCCTTGGGCCCTGACGGCACCGAGTGTGTGAGCCTGGGTGGGTTAACTGCACCCCGTTTTTCTCATGTGTGAACGGAGAACGCAGTGCTGAATTACTAGATTCCTCGGTGACTGCTTACATAGTACTGATCATTTAATTAACCAGATAATTAATTGCCTGGCGTACTGTCATGACTGCTGTTATTGCAGAGGTGAATGGCTGTTGGGTCCAGCCCTCTGCAGAGATTCCCTAGTACTGGGAAGTTTAATTTTAGGGAACCTGGTTAGAGGTGCTCCCTACCACACCCCTAAGACGTGGGCATGGTTGGGATTTCCCTCCTTTGACAGGAGAAGAAAGTAATGTTGGAGGGAGGAGAGGACAGATATTCCGGGTGAAGGAGCAGATGTGTGGCAGCAGGGAACTCGGCTTCCAGCTGTCTGCGTCCCCAAACTGAGAAGAAGCGTGGGGTCCGACACACACAGACCTGCGTTAGGCATCGCTGGGCCTCAGCCCCTGGATCCGTGGGGCAAGCCTGCTGGGAGTCCGGCGCTGCTGGGAGGCTCAGACAAGGTGGGGGAGAACTTTCTCTCTCAGGGGGATTCGCCTGTGAGCCCTGCCTCTCCCAGTGTGGGGGAGGTTCATTCCTTCACCCATTCACTGTTGCTCCACCTGCTGCTGTGTGCCAGGTGCTGGGAGCAGTGACGGACAGGCCTCTGGAGCGTCCCATCTCGGAGGGAAGACAGAGGGACGCAGAACCTGGTGATGGCCCCCCAGCTGCCTCCGTGCCGGGACAGTTGTCAGAGGCCTGCTGACATGGTGCGGCCTGCAGCCCGCACAGGGAAGCGCCGAAACCCATCGGGTTATGTGGGTGCAGAGCCAGGCTGTGGGGAAGCTCAGAGGTGTGCCTGTTCCTCCGGCCTGGGCCTCTAGCCACTCATCCCTGAGGGAATTGGTCATTCTTCATTTGAGCCTCATTTTTATTTATTTATTTATTTTTTTAAATATATTTTATTGATTTTTTACAGAGAGGAAGGGAGAGAGATAGAGAGTTAGAAACATCGATGAGAGAGAAACATCGATCAGCTGCCTCCTGCACACCTCCCACTGGGGATGTGCCCGAAACCCAGGTACATGCCCTTGACCGGAATCGAACCTGGGACCTTTCAGTCCGCAGGTCAACGCTCCATCCACTGAGCCAAACCGGTTTCGGCTTGAGCCTCATTTTTAAAAATCAAAAGTTTTTCATCTACAGAAACTTGGCAAAAAATAAAGTACTATTCCGTTTGCACGTTGCTACATTTAAAATGTCAGCTGTAGATCACTTTCTCTGATGGCCGGTCTGACAGTCATGGGCCTTCTGTGTCCCAGGCTGGACCTGGGCCTTGGATCCTGGTACCTGTTCAGTCTCTGTGGTTCCCAGAAGTCAGCAGGGTGCCTGCTTTCTTGGGTTTGGGGGTGGGGGTTAGGGCAGGGTGGTGGTGGTGAAAACAGGGAGCATCTGGTTTCCTAGAAGATGCAGCAAGGGTCAGGGTTCAAGTTAGGTCCATTGCTGATGGACATCAGGGGTCAGAACCCCCGGGATGCCATTTCCCACAGTGGGTGTCACGTGGGTCCTGCATGAGACCATGGACTCCGGTTACCTTGTTTAACCCTCAGCGCCTGCAGAAGTAGCACTGACCCCCTCGCACAGGGGAGGAAACCGCCTCCAGAGGTCCCGCCACTGGACAGCAGCGGACTTGAGGCTGACTGACCACCTGCCTGTCCAGGCGTGTTGCCTGGCTGCCTCCACGCCACAGCCCCCCTACGGGGTTGGCCCCACAGGAGTTTGGAGCCTTGCCTGGCTGCCCAGGGAGCTGTTCCAGGCTGGCTGTGTGTGAAGGACCTTGGCGTGACCTTGCAAGGGCTGCTTTCCTGTTGGGGCCGCGGAGCAGGAGAGGGGCCCTTTCAGCCTGGGCACACTCACAGTGCTAGCTGTTCCCTCTGCTGCCCTTCCCTGCACCCCTGTCCCTGCTCCCACCCAGCCTCTCCAGACACCCCCCTGTGCCACCCAGAGATCCACCTCACCCCCCACACCATGCTGTGGACACTTTCCTTTCCTCCTCTGGGTCACTACCCACTTGAGAAGCTGAAGAACGGTGGGTTTTTACTCCAGGAAATGAGCCTTTTCCCAGCTGGCCTGTGTGTGCCTGGTCGTTGACCTCTGGGATCCTGTCCACGCACCACGGCTGTGTGCCCACCCTGGGCTGTGAACACTTGGTGCTCACTCGTTCTTTTTTCTCAACACCCAGCGTGGGTGCCTGGCACAGGGAGCCAGTCAGTGGTTGCCGCCTGATAATCTGCTGGGGGGTATCTGCTGTCTCTGGAGCATGGCTGGTTTCCCAAGTGCACTTGTGTCAAGAATAAGACCAGACTTGGCTTGGGGCCAGCTCTCCACCTTCCTTGGCCACAGGCAGGACGGCAGCGGTCATCTGGTGCAGGCCCTGTGATGGGGTGCTGATGGGGGGCCCACCCTGCCTCTGCTGAGGAGTGAGCCCTCTTTTCCACTGCCCAGACACCTTGCCAGGCACAGCACCGGGACCCTCGGCCTTTGTCTGCACTGGCCTTCGTCAGACTCCAGGCATCAGGCCTCGCCCAGCCTGCCTGAAAGCGGCCACACCCTTCGTTTTGTCCCCCGAGTGCCATCACCTTTTTAGTCCAAGGCACCTCATTCTTCCAGTGAGTCATGGTCAGACTTCCATTGCCTCAGACTCCTCCTGTTCCTCAGAGCACTCAGGCACCCCTTGTCCTATCCCACTGCCCCTGACCCCGTTCTGGCTCTTACCTGCAGCCCTGTCCCCCGCTTCCTACTGTCCTCCGCCTCCAGCTCCCTGCCTTTGGCTCCCTCTGCTTGTGAGCCCCGCCCCGTGGGAGAGCAGTGACCCTCTGCCCGCCTCCGAGCCTGAGTCTCGGTGAAGCACCGTGTGGGAATCAGACGTGCCCCGCGCAGACTGTGGGAAGTTACACACTCCCACCCGGCGGGCGTTGCAGAGAGAGCAGGTGAGGGGGAGAACGTGAAAGCCCAGCACGACCTTTGCAGACAGTCTGGCCTGTTGTCCAGAAGCCTCTGTGCAGCCCTTTCCTTCCTGCCCTCGGGCTCTGCTGCCTCGTCGGCCCAGCCGCAGGTCTCCTCCTGGCCCAGGCCGTTCCTTTTTGCACCTGTGCGTAACAGGCTGCTCGTCCCCGTTGTCATAGGCAAGGAAACCGAGGTCACAGCACAGCAGCAGGAAGCACGTCCTGCTGCCTGAGTTCTGGCCCAGAGCCCGCAGCTCACACTGTGCTGTGCCCCTCGAGGCCGGGTCAGGCCCATGAGCACAGATGGATGACAAGCATTTGTGCTCAAGGAATTCGCCAGCTGCAGGGCAGGGTGGGCACAGGGGCCAGGCAGTCCCAGCAGCAAACTGAGTGCCAGGGGCTCAGAGTCGGGGGCCTGCAGCCTGCCCACATCACTGCCTGCCCAGGAGGGTCAGCCTCCCTCCTCCCTCCCCCCGTCCCTGGCAGCAGAGAGCTGGCAGTTGTGTGCCCAGGCTTGGAGGTGGTGTAGGAGAGGGGAGTACGAACAGGACTGGGAAGGAAGGAGGGGCACAGAGATGTGGGAGGGGTGTGTATAAGGGGGCATTAGGCAGTGAGTTGCTTTTAAGGGTCTCGGGGTGGGTGGGGTGTCTCTAGATCCCCCGAGATTCTGTGCACCTGAGGCCCTGCCTGCCTGTGCTCCTCCCACGAGTGTCCACCAGGTCTGAGTGCACATGGCCAGCTCTGAAGGTGGGAGCATGGGAGAGGGCGGGGGCGGGGCTGTTTCTAGAACCAAGTGCCACTCTTGACTCGCATCCCCTTGGTGAGGGTGCAGGGTGTCGGGAGGACCTTTGTGACCTTGGGCAAATCCTTCCCCCTTTTCTGACGGAACTGCCAGCCCTTCAGTTCTGAGCCTGAGGCTTCCAGGCTGGGGGTGGGGGACTGTGAGGCTTGCTGCACCGCTGCCCCTTCCCAGGCAGGGAGGGTCCTGCCTTGTGACCTAGGCCAGTAGCGCTTAAAAGCTGT